CCGTGCGCCCGGGCAGCCTCGCTCAGGCACTGGCTGGCGTAGACGTCGCTGAAGTGCATCTCTCCCCCGGGCTGCAAGGGAGCAAAGGGTGAAGGGAGACGCCCGCCCCACCAAGTGACGGGGATTTGGGATCAAAACGGGCTGAGAAAGGGGCAGGCGGGAGCGCTGGCCCCAGCGATACCTTCAGCACTCGATAGGCCTCCCGCAGGACGGCTCTCTTGTCCGGGGAGAGGTTGATCACGCAGTTGGAGCTGGGGGGGAGGAGATCGAGGCCCGTTTGGGTACCGGGAGGTGTAAAACGGAGCAGTTTGGATCCGATGAGGACAAACATGCGCAGCAGAGCGAAGCTCTCCTGGGCGGCAGGCCAGCCAAGGAGGCCCCACAGGGACGGGAGAGACCCCCGGGGCACCTCATCCCCGACGGGGCTGGAGCAGTTCCCCACAGGTCTAGCAGCTCTCGGCACACGCGTCGCCACCTCCAGTTACCCCGAGGGCTGGTCCCTCTCATGGAGGGCTCGCCTGAGCGTCAAAGGGCCCTGCTTCAGCTCAGAGCCCGTCTAACCACGTCAGCATGGCCACCAATGAGTATCAAAAAGCCTGAACCACCTTTTATGCCCAGCGCTGCTGGCTGCTGCGCGTCCCACCACTTAATGGAGGAATTGGAGAGGCCATTTGGACCATGGAAAGGGTGGTGTCTATATTGCCAAGCTCTGGCCCAGACTCTGGTTGGGATTTTCCCTTTCCTAACGTTGGGCTGGAGCAAGCAGACCAGCAGGACATGGGTCCTGGCCCCAGGTCACAGCCCCAGGCATGCCGGGCTGGCACGTCCCCGTGTGGGACCTACATGACAATATCGTAGCTCTCGTCGGCCAGGCCAGCGTCATCTAGCTTCTCCAAGTAGCCCTGGATAAAGTCCACATTAGGCGTTCGGTAGCCAAATTTGTCCATGTGGTAGGCGATGTGCTTCTTCGCCACCTCGACCTGGGGTGACGAAGCGAACGACCAAAGGGGGGAAATCAGAGCCGGCGGCAAGGCCAGCCTGCGCGGGCGTCTGCGAACGCGGGCGCCCGAGCTGCGTGCCGTACCTGGCCTTGGGTCATGTCTATCCCGGTGACGTGGCCCTTCTCCCCAACGAGCTGACTGAGCAGGTAGCA